GAGGTCAGTTTTGGGGTGACTGTCTTGCGGAATATAAATTATGTTGATATTGGCAACGTGTAAAACCCGTTCCTGCTCCCTTTGAAGTAATGAGGATCTTAAGGTCTGTTGGTATTGACTTCTGTCCGTTACCCTGAGCGATCTCCCGTGGTCCTGGGACGCTGTCGCTTCGCTGCCCTGTGTCGTTGCATGGGAAGCATAGCCGTATGAGTCGTGTCTTCTGCTTATGTTTTCAACTGAATGAGGAGAGCGTAATGGTATAGCAAACCAGGCTTTACGGGGCAGACCGTGAGGTTACATATGCTTTTGGCATTAAAGAAAGTGACCTCTGTGGGGGATTTGCCCTCAGTTCAGCAGCGCTGTCTTGAGTAGTGGAGGATGGCAGGCATCTGAGGTGTTATCTGGAGGTTTATAGACTCACTCTTGAGTCCGTATCTCAATTTGCTTCATTGCTCAGACCTAAATGGTTGAGAGGGAAAACGGAAGTTTAAAAATTAATATTTCACAATTAGATATTTCTACTTTTATTAAACTATTGCTAGAGTAGGCTAGAAGCTGTCTCTCAGTCCCTTCTACTAACCTGTCTCTTAACAGGATGCTTTCCTGTCTCAGCAGTTATCCCAAGAAACACCCGAGAGTCCCCTTTCCAGTTTCCTAATACCACTTCTGAAAGTCAGCCTTGTATAGAATTGCAAAGCTTTTGACTTGCCCAAAGTGAGCGTAATTTTTGTTAAATAATTTGTTTATTCGGGTAGGTAGCAAGCGTTACAAAAATGCAGAATTAACTAATAGTTATCTTAAATGATCTGTGAGCTTTCCGTGCAATGCTACATTATTCTGGTCTTGATTGTTAAAGGGCCAGAGCTCTGAAGCAGTGAATCATTAAGGTTTGGTACCCGGGTGGTTTACTGTAAACAAGGCTTAAGTTCCAGCTCTTCCCCATGGTTAGACTCTATCTCGAAAACCAACCTCTGACATCAGATCTTGTTTCTTCATTCAGTAGTTTAAGGTTGTTACCAAACTAGTTTGTTCAAGAGGCTTTGATATCTTGGGATTTGTTTGTTTGTTTGTTTTTTAAAAGCATGCCTTGCAACTTTTTTCTTGGGTGTCTGATGAGACATGTCTATAATGATGGTTTTGATGTGTTTTGTTGTTGTTTTGTTTTTTTTTTTAAAGTTACTTTGAATAGCTTGGTAACTAGGGATGGAGGAGTGTTTCTTCTCTGGCAGTGTAATGCTGTGCTGCTGGACATGGAGCCTGTTTCTGCTGCAATTTAGGAATTTATGATTAGTAGAGCTTTTGTCAGTAGTTTGAACAGGAATAGCTTTGGGCCTACTACTGGAGAATCAATTTGAGATTATTATTTTCCCGAAAGCTGATTTATGTGTTTTTTTGAAACCAGGTTGCCTGTACTATAATTGACTGCTCAACTTTGCTCTCCTCCTTCTGGGATCAAACCTGCCTAGCCTTCATACTGAACTGCTGATTAATTCCCTTGTCTCTGCAGAAGAAATACTATTGAGAGAAGCTGTGGAAAAACACTTATTACTTTGCTTAAAACTGCTTCTTGTTGTCCTGGTAACAATAAATTTATGGGGTGACTTAAGCAGCTACTGCATGAACAGAAGATACAAACTGCTGAACAGGATTCAAAAGCATGAAAAGCTTGAGAACCCTCCAACAAAAAAGCATATTTTGTTTCAGATATTGTTAACTCTTTATTATCGTCCTTGATCCTTGAGGTGGTAAAAAAAAAAAAAGGAACTCAGATACCATGGTGGTATTTATCACTTAAAAACTAAAGTAGAACATGAAAAAAGTGTGATTTTTCTCTAAATGTGGAAAAACAACTTGTATAAGCCCTTTCAATCCTTGTAGATTTACAGTTATATTAGCCTTCTATTCAATTGTTTATTTCAGAAACAAACCTCTAATTTGTTTTAAATTCCTCCAAAGATTTATACCAGGCTAACATCAGTGTTGGACGTTGCCTTCCGTTACGAGGACTCGTGCAGAAGCCCCCAGTATTGGAACCCCTTTAGCACAGCAGACAACGTGCCGGTTCGTTACAGTCAAAGCAGCAGAGTCCGAATAACTCGGGTCACATCCTGGTTTGCCAGGATGTGTGGAATCTCCTGGCTGGTCCGTGCTGGCAGCACTAATTAATGCATAATAATAATAATAAGCACTAATAATGCATTCTGCATCAGAGTTTAGAATTGGTGAAAAAAACCAAAATTCTGAAGTGCGAACAGCCGAGGGGCTGTGGATGTGTACTTCCAGCTCTCGTAGATGTACAGGATTATTTAACGTTTCCCAAGCTTCGCCTGTCTCTTTTTAGATTCAGCTCCAGCTAACCTTCCTTCTTGAACACACCCGGTCAAAATATTTGGCTGTCTTAGCCCTTGGTCACCTTCTCTGCCATCTCCAGTGGGGGGATATGTTTCAGGATGGGCCAAACTGAAGGCGAGGGAGGTTTATACCCCGCGTGGGCGTTTAGGTCGTCGCGTTTTTTGCGGAGCCGGGAAGATCTTTGAGCAGCTTTCTGGCCGTTGGAGCAGGAGCATCACCGCTTGTGTTAGCAGCGATCGCGAGGAGCCGGTAGTGGTGGGGGTTAGAGTCGCAAGCAGTGCCGCTTGATTTCTTTGGCGTATCTAGGAAAGCGGTGAGTGCTGTGAGCTCCGGGAGCGCCGAGGAGCAGCCTGTTGCTAGACAGAAGCAGAGAACGCTCTCCGGGAAGCCTCGCTGAACGCGTATCCTCGGCCCTACGGGATCACCCTCTTCCTCGGCCCAACGGGATCACCCTCTTCCTCGGCGCTGTCCTCCAAGGCGCGGTGTGGGGCTGATGCAGCCGTCGCCCGCCCGGGGTAGCCCCTCCAGACCGGGCTCGCCGGCTGCGTGACTGGAGGATGGGAAGATTTTTCCTGGCCCGAAGTGCAGCCACGGCACTGGGAGGACTTCGTCCCGCCTGTACCAAACCGCAGCTCTCGCCAGCCGCGCTGAAGCTTTCGCTGCCGCCTCTTCCCGTGGAGCTGCGGGGAGAGCCGTGTGGATTAAGGGGTTGCGTGGGGGCCAGTTAGTGGCCGGTTTCGAGTGGCTTACCTAATTCTAGTCGAAATGATGAAAGACTCGGGTAATTACGCTTAGTGTATAGATGCTTTTTGTGGCCTTGAGCCACAATAAAAGCCTAAAGCTTTTACTCTCAGAAGTAATTCTTGGTCTGTAGAGTTGAGCTGCATTTTCTCATCTTTCCTTAAGGTCAGTTGTACGCATTCAGGTTACTCCAGGTAGTACTTTATACTGTGACACAGCAGTTGGTTGCGGGTACCACAAGGTACCACCTTAGCTTGCTGTATTTTGCCTGTGTGCTCAGCAAACAGTAAATAAGAAATAAGTAATATAATAATAAGTAAACAAGAACCAAGATGTTGGATTTTGCGTTTATTAGATAGCTTCAGCTGCACTGGTGACTTGTACATTGAAATTCAGTGTTTGAATTTTATTTATCCTTCTGTTGTTGCTCCTTTCATGAAGAAACCCCTGGCCTGCCCTGTCACATGCTTGCTTCCTTGGAAATACCTATCTTAATTGCCTAAAATAAATATTTAGGGTACTTGAATCTGTTGCTCTCCCAGTTCTTTTAGCCCATGGTTGGGATGTGCAGCGAGACAGTTTTCTGGCTTACTTCCAGTTTGGCTGCAGTTTTTCATGGGGCAAAGAGGTTGCTGCGAGTCGATCATCAGATTTCCTTTCTCACTTTTAAAAAGTACATCCTTGATCTTTGAGGCACTGTGTGCATTAGCTTTTTCTTCCAGAAAGCAATTTATGAAACAACTTGGATATAGTGCCAAAAGATCCCATTGGGCAATAACATTGCTCCAAATCCTATACTAGTGTTGCCAGATGTTTTTTTTTTTATTGCAGTGGAGCAAATTTTTGAATAATCATTAAGATGTTTGCATACAATCTATTTTTAATCCACACAGCAGTGGTCTGTGTAAAACCATGAGGAGTCAGACAGTCGTAACTATTAAACATCTGTCTCTACATCAATTTTGTGAGACCTGATTATTGCTGGGTGATTTCTTGAAACTGTGACATGGTAATTTTATAGGCAGTGGGCTTTACGTACAGCGACAAAAAGAGTAAGGATCCCCTGCTTTTAACTCTCAAGGGCGGGGGGGCTGTCTCGGCTATGGATAAGAGAGAATCCCTACAGTGGATGCAGTCTTAAAAAAATAATACTAAAATATCGAAAACCGCCTGGACAGGACAGTGAAAAGAGTTGTTTTTTACCCGTGTGCTGCCAAGCAGCTTGCCTTTCCCCAGGCATCTCCCTTCAGCGTTAAGGACTGGCTGGGTATTTCTGTGAAGTCGGGTTTTAAAGGGTTGTCGCTGGGACTCCTCTTGTGCTATACGAGCACAAAATTTCCTAAATTTCCTTCTTCATTTCTTACCTGTGCTTAGAGTTAAAAACGTTTCCCTATTCAAACTTTTTTCTTTCTGTCTTTTCCTTTTGCTGGTGCCTGGATTCATATTATTCTGATTGCCTTCTAGTTTATGCTTCATGTAATTGTTCACTGTTCCAGTTCTTTGGGTTACTGGTTCTTCTAAATGAACTGTCCAGATAGTCAAGGCAGGGAGATTTACAACTTTGGGAAAATAATAACACAAAAGCCCAAATACCTAATCTGAGAAGAATGTTTAGGGCAAAAATTACTAGTGTTGTAAATTACTCCTATCAGCAAAGTCTGGGCAAGGGTGTCGGCTGTACTCCTGCATGTGTGTATTTCCAGGTTTTTCTGCTCTCTTCCGAAGCGCTACCATTTCCTAGCCATTATTCTTTTCCTATCTTCCACTCCCTACAACCATTCTAAATTACTCCCTCTAATCCACTGGCATTAATTGCACAATCTGAGATGAGGTAGGTGTGTCGCTGGCGATTATCTAAAGAAAACAGGCTGTGTTGCAGAGACGTCTCTTACTTTTGTAAATGCGAAATGACGTCTAAGGGCTGGTGTTACAGCTGCAGTCGTGATAGAGGTAATATCCAGAAACTCAAGATGGCAGAAAAAATTATGAAAGAGTCTTTCAGTCTTATTTTGTAATCATATACCAGAGAATGTTCCCCACAGTGTATTTCTTAATACTTGAAGCATGCTTTACTGAGAAGGACCTAGTTGTGAATTCTGAGGGTAGCTATGTGTTACGGTGCGGTTGGACAAAAGGGTGTATTTAGCAAACGAAAACGATTACCTTTTAACTAACTAACTTTGTTCTTTGCCTTCCAGTTTGCAGAAGCATGGACATTCGCAACAACCTGACCCGGCTGAACATGCTTGAGAACTGCACTGTGATTGAGGGCCACTTGCAAATATTGCTGATGTTTAAAACCAAGCCTGAGGATTTCCGCGAGCTCAGCTTTCCTAAACTGACTATGATTACAGACTACTTGCTTCTGTTTCGCGTGTACGGCCTGGAGAGTTTAAAGGGACTTTTCCCTAACCTCACTGTGATTCGAGGAACTCATCTGTTTTTTAACTACGCACTAGTCATTTTTGAGATGGTTCACCTGAAAGAGATCGGCCTCTATAACCTGATGAACATTACTCGAGGCGCTGTGCGGATTGAGAAGAACAATGAATTATGTTATTTGTCCACGATCGACTGGTCGAGGATTTTGGATTCTGTAGAAGATAATTACATCGTGGCCAACAAGGATGACAAAGAAGAGTGTGGAGACGTGTGTCCGGGAACTGTGAAAGGGAAGAGCAACTGTCCGCCTACTGTGATAAATGGCATTTTCATTGAACGCTGCTGGACCCATGATCGCTGCCAGAGAGGTGAGTCTGCAGAGTGATGTATGTCAACTATGGTTTTGCTGTCAATTTTTCATCTGGCAGATCTACTGGAGGTCTAATTGGTACCTGGTAATTGCTACCTGTAAGCACAGGTTCCTAAAGCAAGGCTCGAAATGGAGGTTAGAAAGGTGAAGAGAGAACTTTTGGGATGGGGCTATTTAGCAGTTCTTTCACCTATGTGGATAATGTATCCAAAAATGTTGTGTTTGGTTTCTCTGGAAAGTTAGGGAGCGCCTAGAGCTCGTGAGTTTAACCGTCTGTAAGCGTAACTGGTATCTTGTGTCGTAGTTAGTGGTATCAGTGTCTCTGTTGGGGTTTGGGTTGGGGATTAAAAGTCCAGATTGACTGAAAGGCTGCAGCAGGCAGAAACAGAGCAGCAGGGAAAAGTCTGTATGGAATAAACCCAACTCTAGAAAGGTGCGGTTACGTTTTCGCTGAAACCTTCCTGCCATAAGAAGGTGTAAGAGATGTGGATGAGCGAGCGACGTTTGCACAACGAAGCTGGAAGCCAAGTCAGACCTGAAGGGCAAAGGAGAAGGAGGAGAGAGGACCTGGATGGGGGCTGCCCGTAGCAGGAGTCCTGGGGAGGGTGAAGTAACTGGGCTTTGAGGCTGGGGTTCTGGTTCAGGGGAGAAGATATGTTCAGAAAGCTAGCTGCTGTTGCAACCCCTGAACTCCAGGTTTTTAAACTGTATTAGAGTTGCTTTTAATTTCATACATATTTGTTTTTTCCAAAGTTGGAACCTCCCTTCAGTTTAGTTTTAATTATATATTTACTTTGATTTATGTTAAATCTGACTTGGCGGGGAGCAAAGCGAATTGAGGCAAAACTGACACATTTAGAGTTGTCTGACTTTCTGGAGGTAGTGCATCCAAATGAAGCAGTGTGTCCTAAGACGAAATTAGGAAACTTGCGGGCTAGAGAAAATTCCTTGCCAAGCTTTAAAGGGCAGCTCTGAGTGCTAAGTGCCAAATTTGAGAAGGAATTCCTACCAGTATGCATAAACTAATGAAATTAATGTGGTTTCCCCTCTGCTACTCCTCACCCCAAAATCGTCTCGCTTCCTTTTAAAGAAAGTGGTTATTTTTTGCGCCAGAATAACAGGGTATGAGCAAGAAGATGCAAGCGTGTGTGTGTTCCTTTTTTTAAAATGAAAAATAAGGTTATAAAGCGTTTTAGGTTATAAACTCTCTTGGTATACAGTGGTTATCAGTGCTGAAACCTGGTTTCTTATGCATTCATGTTTTCTGCTATTTCATAAGGTTAAAGATCTAACTGAAACCTTTTCGGTGGCTAGACCATTCGTAATGTCTCTCATTCTGGTGAGTTTTCTGGGGCTGCGCTACAGCAGACTGGAATGTATGGTTTCTCTCCTTTATATGACTGCCTATTTCCGTGAAACCTGTAGGAATGTCGCATTTTACCGTTGGGGCAGAAATCTCCGCTCTTGAGCCTCTCATACAAGTTCAGCTAAATTTATTAGAGGATAAATTATCCATACAGTATCACACACTATCTGGGCTTCGTTCCCTAAGGAAGCCAAGCTAGTAAGTCCATTTGACTTGAATTTGAAGTTTGAATACGAAAATAGTTTCAAAAGCATTTACATACAGATGCTCCCATCCGGTTTTCTCTGTTCCTTGTAGAAGATTCAGAGAAGCAGTGCTCCTACATATTTTGGCTGTAACTGGTATGCGTTTTCTAAACCACTTAACAAGCCGCGCTTATCTTTGTTTTGAATGCTAAGATTTGTACTTTTATTTATTGGTAGCTGGTGTTCTCAACAAGCTGGTATCTGTATTGTACGGTGCCTTGTAACACCTGCCTGTATGCTGCTCAAGTTATTTTAACAGCTTGGGTAGTCTTTTAGACTTAGACTTTTTTTTGAGTAGCCTTTAGACTTCCAGCACACATGCACGCTAGTAACTATAGTAGAGATTGTGACATTTATTTAGTGAACCTGTTCATGGAATCGCTGTGCTCTCTGTTCTTGTGCCAGCCATAACGTATCCTCAGTGTCTGTAACTGTTTTGTCAAGATTATTATAAGCTTGTGTGACTTGTACTTTGGCTTTCCTCAGCCTGAAGAGCCTCAGCAGCTCCCGGTACTGAGGGTATTAATGTCACGAAATCTTTCCCTCTGCATTTTTACAGCTTATCTGGGAATCTTCAGCAGCTAATGCTGTGCTGAAGTCTCCCGTCTCTCTGATTTTAAGTGTATTCCCCTCTTTTATTTTTACTCTCTATCTTTTAGCCAATGCTGGAATGAACTATGGGAATTCCAGTATGACTTTCTCGGGGGAAGTTTGGTTTTGTGTGTTGTTTTAACGCAGGTTATTTGTACCCCTAGTTTGTTTCCAAAAACTTGGTGCGGGATCTCCTGTTCGCTGCTGTTGTGTATCTCTGGATGGGAAGTTGTTGCTGTCTAAACTGATAGTGCTGCTGCCCTGGGACTGTGGCTCAGGATATTTTGTTTGCTGTTTTGTCTGCCAGAAAAAAAAAAAATCCTTAAAGAATATGTAAATATTGATTGCTTTGATGTTGCAGAGTGTGTGTCAGTTGAGAGAGACAAGTAAGGTAAGCTTTTTCCGGCGTGCTAAGCTTCGAGCCTTGCTGGAGAAAATGAGGAGGTGGGCAAGAAGTTTGAGAGGACACACGCGGGAAGGCTGAAAGATGTGGCAGAAAGGTCTTGCGTGAGTGGGAAAGGAGACGGCAACGGCCGGGGCTGGAGTGGGGTCCCGGGGGTCCCCCGTCTCTTCCCCACCAGCCCCTGACCTTCCCCGCCTGCTCTCTGTGGTCGCTCCCTTCGCGTTATCCCTGCCACATCGGAGAGCGATCGAGCGTCTTTGATACTGCTTTCTTTTAATCAGCACAGATATCCCAGTTTACTCCAAAACTAACTTTCAGTTATAGCATGTAATTATCTCTGAGGCACACATCCAAGTCTCTGAATCATCCTTGCAGCTCTAACTCCAGCCCAGAATTTTTTTCAGTTGGTGATAACATGTTCAAGACAACAAAGTAAAGGATCTTCTTTACAGACGTTAGAGCTAAGGTTGTGGATGAAACCGGTTGGGAGGAACTGAAATGATTTGTGGGCAGCTGCGCCCTTTGAAAAAACAGTTGTGATATTGAGGAATCTGTGTCTGAGCGCGAAGATGCGTAGGTGGATATACCATAGATTGAGATTGGTTGGGATGTATTTCCTGAAAGTTTTTTTCTTTTTTTTTTTTTTGCTCTCTAAATTACTTGTGTTGGTGTAAAAAACAAGTCGGTTCAGTTAAGGCCAACTCATGTTATATTTTGAATAGGAAGGGAGGGAAATATGTAGTCTGTTTGGAATTTGGGTCTAGCCTTATGCTGTTTATGGCAGCCAAATGCTGTTCCTGTTCTGGAGGTTTTGTACCTTTTCAGACCACATTTTTATAAGGCTTTTTTTTTTTTACATACTTAGTTACTTTTATTGCCATAAAAACATAGCTCTTAGTTTGGTGCAGCATGTTCGTGAAGAGAGCGTCTTTGCTGAAGAACGCAGACAACAAAAATGCTGGAAATGCCACGTCCTAGACCTCAGTCTAGATCTGCCAAACATGATTTTCATATTTTGCATTTTTTTCCACTATTTTTTTTACGTAATAAAAAGGCTGTATGTCTGTCACTCCACTTGCGGAAGGAACAATTCCCGCTGAAATAGGATTTCCTGCCAATTCTCTTCGCAGTCAGTCTTCTCTGTCCATCCATAATTTGAAGCAGTCTGATGTTTTTGACAGTCTAATTACAAAGGCAGGTTCAGCCTTTTACTTGCATATTGGGTCATCTGGAGGTGGAATAAGGTAATAGGAAGGAAAAGTGGAATGGTCGAATAAAAATGACCAGGAAAACGATCTGCAATAGCAGACAGTCCCTTGGTGACTATTGAAGGGCTGCATTCCTGGAATATAAGGATGGATATCTGAAATATAAGCTTCGTTCCTGAGAGGATGTGATGAAATTCAAGTTCTCCTATTCATCCTGAATGAAATCTTTGTAGGAGTCTGTTATCATCTTCATCTTGGGACTTCACGCTACTAGGAAATCTGACTTACTAAAAGCGTGGGCTGTTTCAAGTTTGTAGATGGACTCTTTCTTCAATCTATTGTCTTGCTTTATGCGATAAAAACAAAAGTTGTGTCTCTCAATTAGCGCAATCTAGAATTTGTTGCAAAATATTAACCTCATGAAAAGAAAGTGGATAGTATATGAAACCACTTGGGCCAACTGAAGAGTGAAACAGAGCTGGTAGAAGGGATGACAGTCTGGAGTGACTGACATGCAAAGGAGCTGCTAAAGAAAGGTACTGTATGAAAATAATGTTTATCCACATTTTTTTACGATGCTGGGGGAGCAGTTCTGGAGACGAGGGATACAACAGAATTTCTCTTTAATTTTCCTGTGATTTATCCAGGGAAAACTTGGGGACAAGTAGGAGACGGGTAAGGAACTGAAGAGTAGCGTTAGTAGCTTGCTTTGTTTCCTACTACAAGCAACACAACAAAGCACTCGGAAAAACATTGCTCAGCCTGAAATGTCTTTCAACTGCTGTGAAATACCACCGAGTGCTTTCAAAGAGACGGGTGCCAGAAGAAATTCTACAGCTATGAACATCTTCAAGGCAGGTTTGAATACAAAGCTTAGAGGTGTGTGTGTGGGAAACATTTTGTGATGTTTACTTAGGTAGAATTATTACTTAGCAACAGCTTCCTGTAATTTTTATGTGCTGGGAATTTCTGTAACCATAAGCTTAGTTTTATTACCTTTGTATGGGAAAGGGGTCTCAAAGCGCTGAAGAGACTTAGCCAACCTCAAGGGCAAGATATTTTTAAAGCTTCAAACACAAAAGAAATTTTTCCAGTTGCTACCACATGAAGTGGAAATGCTCCTTTTATTTGGAGATCTGATAAGAACTGCCCTTTTTTTTTTTTTTCTTTCCCCCGAGATCTGAC